TGAACATTTATGGTTGGATTTCTTTGTATGTATGGATCACTTGGGTTGTTACCAATATCTGGTGAAAATTTCATGTCATCAGCACCTCTAGTAATATATTTACTGAGAAAAATGGTGACGTGTTCAATACTTATTTTACCCGCTGTACATGGGTGCAGTTTTGCTGGTGTCCCCTCACAACTAGCCATTTAGTTTTAATAAACCTTTTTTAGTCAAACTCCACCTCTGGTCTGGTTGTCCCATTTATGTCGCTTCCCTTTGAGCCAGTGGGTCGTAAAGGGACCAACGCCCAGTCTTCTTCTTGAAGGGCTGGGAGGATGAGAAGTGTGCCTAAGGTTTTCTCATGTCAAAGCTGTAAAGCAACTTTAATAAAATGGAGTTCTACTTGTTGGGTTTCTTTGTGACTAATAATGCAATGATGCACAGCTATACTTTTCCTTTAGTGAAAGAGTCCTCCACCCTGTCATCAGCTGTCAGCAGAAAACAACAGAAGGTGGAGTCAAGGTCTTAAAAAGAAACGCCTTCATGTAAAAATGACCTGAATGTCACCAAGAGCTTCAAAAATAAGTCATTAACCCTCACCACTGTCATGCTTTTAGAACTGTCAGTGCCGCCAACATATTTGAAAGGTTCAATAAAACAACATGAGCCAGGAAACATAAAGCAGCCAATCACATGGCTCCACGTTATCACATTATTTGAAGCCTGTACAGGTTAATAAAACATGGAAAACATTGTGGGTCTGAATGACAGCTTTACAGCAGACCCGCTCTCCCCTCTTCCTGGTTCTGTGCACCGACGCAGAATCTTTTCTGTTTTGTCCTGAGATAGCGGGATGCAGCTGCACTCTGATCACTATGTTGCTTTGAATTCACAGTTTCTTGTTGAGCATGTGTGGGTGAAGATCAAAGGGAGTTGCAGTTGTGTATTTTTTGACTAAAACTATTACAGTCTCAACCGGCCTTGATACAAATTGTCTAGACCCCAGGCATAATATTCTGAGCCCGAGTCCAAGACTAGAAAAACATTTATTGAGACCTCCACCCCTGTTGGAAATATAACATCAATAACATATTGCAAAAATAATTTCCTGCTGCTGAGATGAACAGTTGTTGAGATATTTGAATGTGAAGTAACAGGAAGTGATGTCAAAGGGGAATATCTACATGTGAACAAAGCATTAATAAAATGGCTAACAACAAAGACTGTGGAGAAGAATCTGATGTTTCTTTGGATTATTTTGAGTCTATCATGAAGAAGAAGAGTTTAATAATATTGTTTCAATAAATGAAGACCAGAGAGTTATCTTTCTTAAAGAGTTTCCTTTGATGTCACTTCCTGTTTCACTTTGTGGTTTGTAAAATAAAAAGGTGTTTTCTTTGACTTTTGTATTTGATGAATATGCATGTCACAGGCACTTTAAATTAAAGCCAATGGTTTTCTTCAGCATGTGAACAAACAGTTCTGATAGTCTTCAAGTTGTCTGTCCACCATTTGAAAGTACTGCGTATAAGGCTGAGTTAACCTGAAACTCCTCACACTGAAGTCTCCTGAAGAAGAATTTTCACTAAGTTTTGTCTTTGTTGCTTGAAGTACAGCTACCTAAAGTTAGTACTCACTGTTTGACTGAGATGCACATTTTGTACATTTTCAATGCATTTCTTCAACACTAGGGGTGTAAGAAAATATCGATACACTGAAATATCGCGATATTTCATTTCCCGATACTGTATCGATATTCTAAAGCCCTGTATCGATT